CGAACAATTGATATGTTGAACATCGCTACTGAGACCAGCCACGCATTGAGCAACGCTTACTCGCTCGAGTGCTGGGGTGGAGCCACCTTCGATGTGGCCATGCGATTCCTCTATGAGGATCCTTGGGACAGACTTCGCAAGATGCGCAAGGCCGTCCCCAACATTCCCTTCCAGATGCTGCTGCGCGGTGCCAACGGTGTTGCGTACTCTTCCCTTCCCGATAACGCCATCTACCACTTCTGTAAGCAGGCTAAGAAGTACGGTGTCGATATCTTCCGTGTCTTCGATGCCTTGAACGATCTTGACCAGCTCGAGGTCGGTATCAAGGCCGTCCACCAGGCCGGTGGTGTCGTTGAGGCCACCATGTGCTACAGTGGTGACATGCTGAACCCCAAGAAGAAGTACAGCTTGGAGTACTACCTGGGTCTGGTGGAAAAGATCGTCAAGATGGGTCCCCACGTTCTTGGAATCAAGGATATGGCTGGTGTGCTCAAGCCCCAGGCTGCCCGTCTGCTCATCGGTTCCATCCGTGAGCGCTACCCCGACCTCCCCATCCACGTTCACACCCACGACTCCGCCGGAACCGGTGTCGCCTCCATGATTGCCTGTGCCGAGGCCGGTGCTGATGCCGTGGATGCCGCTACCGACAGTCTGTCTGGTATGACCTCGCAGCCCAGCATTGGTGCTATCCTTGCTTCGCTGCAGGGTACCGAGCACGACCCCAAGCTGGACCTGGGCCAAGTCCGCGCTCTTGACAGCTACTGGGCTCAGCTTCGCCTGCTCTACTCTCCCTTCGAGGCTGGCCTGACCGGCCCCGACCCCGAGGTCTACGAGCACGAGATCCCCGGTGGCCAACTGACCAACCTGATCTTCCAGGCCAGTCAGTTGGGCCTCGGACAGCAGTGGGCTGAGACCAAGAAGGCATACGAGGTGGCCAACGAGTTGCTGGGCGACATCGTCAAGGTCACCCCCTCCTCCAAGGTCTGTGGTGACTTCGCCTCCTGGATCGTCAGCAACAAGCTGTCCGCCCAGGACGTACTCGACCGTGCCGATCAGCTCGACTTCCCTGGATCAGTCTTGGAGTTCTTCGAAGGTCTGATGGGTCAGCCCTACGGCGGCTTCCCCGAGCCTTTGCGTACCAAGGCCCTGCGCGGCCGTCGCAAGCTCGACAAGCGCCCCGGTCTGTACCTGGAGCCCATGGATCTCATCAAGATCAAGAACGAGATCCGCGAGAAGTTCGGCACCGCCACCGAGTGCGACGTTGCCAGTTACGCCATGTACCCCAAGGTGTTCGAGGACTACCGCAAGTTCGTTGCCAAGTTCGGTGATCTTTCCGTTCTGCCCACCCGCTACTTCCTTGCCCGTCCCGAGATCGGCGAGGAGTTCCACGTCGAGCTGGAGAAGGGTAAGGTTCTGATCCTGAAGTTGCTCGCCATCGGTCCTCTCTCCGAGCAGACCGGCCAGCGTGAGGTCTTCTACGAGGTCAACGGTGAAGTCCGCCAGGTCAGTGTTGATGACAACAACGCCTCAATTGAGAACCTGGCCCGCACCAAGGCCGACCCCACAGATAGCAGCCAGGTCGGCGCTCCCATGAGCGGTGTCGTGGTTGAGATCCGCATCCACGATGGCCACGAGGTCAAGAAGGGTGATCCTATTGCGGTGCTGAGCGCCATGAAGATGGTATGTTATTTAATTATTTTTTATTACAGGCATGAATGTGTGGCTAACTCTTATCTAGGAAATGGTGATCTCCGCCCCGCACAGCGGAAAGGTGTCCGGCCTCCAGGTCAAGGAGGGTGACTCCGTCGATGGCCGAGACCTGATCTGCAGGATCAGCAAGGCGTAAAAGCATAGTGACTCTGTACTACTGAACCATGCACGATTTGTGATGCGTGATGTGATTTGAATGATTTCTCAGCGTTTTTAGTTGTTTTTTCGAGTGCCTCTCTGGATTTAGGTAATTTGCTATTCTAGCTTATTCGGAATTAAACAGTATTTCTTCTGGTCCACAATTTACACAGTCATTAGTACGCTCCCTCCGCCACCCTCCATCCACAGCTTCAAGTCCTTCCGCGCGCGAGAGGGGATCGCAATATCCTCGTACCAGAGATGGGATGGCTAGTCCACCAGGGGGAAATGTGCGCGTCGTCGTACGAGTGCGGAAATTTCCTAAGCCAGCGCAAGTCAATAATGTCCAAATCTAGCCCCGATCTACTTAAGTCTTAGGTCCCAAGCCAGTGATCCCCAAATCTAGCTCCGAGCCGGACTTCTGCCGTTCTCCCCCGCAACGCACTGCCTTCTCCAACTGTCAATGGCCAATGGCCAATCGCAAATTGCCGATGTCCTTGTCTCTCACCAATGAAACCCAATTGCCTCTTTATCTCGGCTACTAAGCGTCCGAAAACTGCGGCATGTAGAGCCGATAGATACCGTCTTAAAGGACGTGGTTCCCGGCTCGAACTGCTCTACTTGACTATAATATACCCGAGTACCACCTGGGAATAGAGACGTGTGTGATTACGTCTACCGTGTCAGCTAGGATCTACGTATATACTCAACTACGCCCCAAATCAACCATCAACAGAACAAAAGCCAACAAAGATGGAAACAATCCGGCGTACTCACGTTAAATCCCTCGCCCACCGTGGCACAATTCAAGGGGTAACAATTTCAACATCGCCTTCTCCCACTGGCCAAGCCAAAGACCTCTGCCACTACTTTGGCGGCGTTCGCTACGGCCTTGCCCCTGCTGAGCGCTGGCGCCGCGCTCAGCCTCTACCCGCGTCCTTCACATATGGTAGCGAAGAAGCACCGGGTCATTGTGATGGGGGTGCAGGGCTTTGTCCTCAACCGGGCTTTCTGAATATCTCGCCCGAGAACCCGGATGCGTGGAACGAGGATTGCTTTCAGTGTAATGTTTGGACGCCTATTGGGGAAACGCCTGAAGGAGGATGGCCTGTTTTTGTTTTTATTCGTGGGTATTTTCCGCTTGAATCTCGGATATATCGCTTTAGGGCATGGAACAAGGTGATAATGTTCCACATAAACCGTACTGACAGACATTGTTCGGCGTAGATGGCGGATGGCTTCAGTTCGGCACGCCTAACTCATTCAATCCAGCTACGTTGATCGGCGAAGCCGAGTTCAACTGCGTGGTCGTGATGCCCGCGTACCGGGTCAACCTATTCGGATTCCTGTATTCAGCCGAACTGGAGGAGGACGCAGCCACTGCCGGCGAGACAGTTGGGAACCACGGATTCTGGGACCAGAGACTCGCACTCGAGTGGACGAAGGAGAACATCCAGCTATTCGGAGGCAACCCGGAGACCATCACGATCTCAGGATATTCCGCAGGTGCCAACTCCGTCTTCCACCAACTAGCCTATGACCTCCGCCAACCAGACGAGAACTCTCTCATCCGCCAAGCCTGCATCTGGTCAAACAGCCCAGCCGTCCAGCCCAAGCAGCCAACCGAAACCCAAACCCAATTCAATCAACTCCTAACAGCTCTGGATATCCCCCTCACCCTACCAAATAGCGAGAAACTCACCCGTCTACGCTCAATGCCTGCGAGAACCCTCCTCGACAAAGCAAAAACAATACAGCTCCACCAATTCCGCCCAACAACAGATACATCCTTCATCTCCCCATCCCTCTTCGCAACCCTGGATACTGGTGCCTTCGCCCACAGCCTGCTAGCCCGCAATATCCGCATAATACTCGGCGAATGTCGTGACGAGCGTTTCCTCTACAGTACATGGTTCCCGCCGACAGATAACACGCTCTCAGCACTGCGCACCCGTCTCGTCGCAGATTACCCCGAACACATCGTTGACGCCATTATACCGCTGTATTACCCGGATGGCCGTCTACCTCCGCACTGCAAGAACTGGGACCAGGACGCGTGGGGAAGGATCTACGCTGATATGCAGGTTCATCAGATGCAGCGTGGGCTTGCGTATGCGCTGACGGAGAACGAGGATGGTGTTGATGCTTCGTCGTTGTTGTTTCGGTATCGGATTGAGTGGCGAGCGAAGTGCGTGGATGCGGTTTTGCCGGTTGAGTGGGGGGTTACGCATTCGTCGGATTATCCGATTTGGTTCTTTGGGAATGGGGGTTTGTTGGGGGAGGGGGAGAAGGGGGTTGTTAAGGATGGGTTTGTTAGTTCGTTAGGGAGATTTGTTGCTGGGGAGGAGGACTTTAGATGGGGAGTTTCTGGGGCTAGGGGGGTTAGGACGTTGAGGGGGGATGGGGGTGTTGAGATTGTGGAGGATGGGGATTGGGAGGAGGGTGTTAGGGTTTGGAAGGTGTTGAGGGATGCTGATGGGAGATTGGGGTGATACCTAGGTATGTAGTGCATATGGAAATATGTAGTATATCTATTCTTCTGAGGTGCAAGTATACATACTACTATATGTAGCTCTTTGATATTCTTAAGTGATATGCCAAGCTTTCCCCGCATTCTAATTACGTCAAGGCTCTCTGGGGTACATAACAGTACATGACAGTACATGGTCAGTACATAGTTAGTACATATATAACAGGAGGGAATAGGAATAGTACATGGTCATGGTAGATTATAATACATGTACTCGACACGTATAATAAGTACCAACATAGCACTCCAGAGAGTGTGCATAAGGAACTAGACCGATTCACCACCGCGTTGTAACCTCAGTTCTTATAAGGCAGCTTTCCCCCTCTTTGCCTTTCTCTTTACTACATGTATTCATTTCTATCAATCCAAGCTAAACTTGGAGAATATTGCGGTAAGTTCCATTCCATTTCTTAGCTATTCCATACTCCATCTATCCCCAAGAGGCAACCCCGAACAAGAATGACGTCGTCGACTCTCAACCCTTAAAACGATATCTCAAACCTATTATCCTTAGTCTCTTTAACATTCTGTAATTTATCATATCTCATTCCTACTAAATTCTCACCCAAAGAACCGAACCAAACCCATCACGGATTACTCCAACTACTTAGAAATCTCCAACATGTCTGACGACAATACCCGCCGCCACTGGCACGGAAACCCCGGCGACCGTCACCAGCACCTTAATGTCTGGATGAACGGTGGTGCCAAGAGTCCTAGTGGCCGCGCTGCGTGGGCAATGCCAATAGTGCCTGGCACGGACAATAGAAGGGTAGGTCATTTGCCTCTTTCTGTTTCTTATATACCATTCCCATCCATTATTCCCATGGCACTACATTACTACTATCCCTGCCCCTCTATCCATTTATAACACATCATTTATCCATCTATAACCCATCTCAAACCTTATCTAACACCAAAATGAAGGACTCAAATACCTCCACCTCCTCAAACGGAAACAAACAAGCCGAAGGCACCTCGCCGATCCCCCAAAGCCTAGGTGAACGTCGCCGAAGCTCAACCGGCTCTTCCCACGGTCTCTTCTCGAACTTGCAAACCCAGAAGCGTGAACCTACAACCGCGGATATGGCTACTCGTCGCGCGAGCTGGAATGAGCAGGCTGCTAAGGGGGGTATGTTCTCGAAGTGGTGGGAGGGATACACCCGGGGCAGTGGTAGCAAGTAGGTTGTTATGCTTTTGCAACTGTTCTGTGCATGGGGATTTGTATACTTGACATCCGGGTTGATTCTGGAGATGGAAATTGGGAAAACTTGAAAAAAACCAAAACAAAAGGGATATTGGGGTTTGAGGTGGTTGTTTTTTTCGGTTTAGTTTTCATGCTTCTATGAACTTTCATGAATTGTGTGATCATTTATGTTTATTTTTTTGATTAAGGCTTGCTTTTGTCTCTTCATCTACGCTTCTAGCATGTCGATGTCCCGAAAATAACACGAAGATGTCTTTTCTTTGAGAGTCTGGTTAGGCATCTAGTGACGCGTTGATGTCTTCTTTAAGCAGACGCTACCTTTGATCTAATGCCAATTCATACACAGTTACTTAGTCTCAGTCTCCCCTGTGCCTTCAATCTCTAATCGGCCACCGATTTGATCTAGACGACGACTGCTGATTCGAGACATGATAAATTTACAATTATAACATACCATTCAGAAAAAGCGATGTACTCTGATTGCAAATGCGAAAAGGAATACCATGGCACGGAACTGGGAACCCCCGAGGCCCAACTTGGCACTATATCACCCCATAGTTGTCTCCCAACCTTTCTCAATCATAACATCAACCCAATAAGCATCATCATCCCCAGCATCCAATCTCTTCCAGACCTCATTAACCAATTTCAAACATACATGAATTGGTTTTGGGGGCAGAACATGCAAAAAAGACGTAAGACGGCCGAGGATGAACTTGCGCGTGCGCGAGACTTCAATGGCCTCCATTGAGATGGTAGGTGTTTGATTCGGGTTGTTACTATCGTTATTGATGCCTTCTGAATAATCACTGCCACTCCGAGGTTGAGCGTCTGCGTTTGTGGCCAGACGCGGGAGACGGAGCTCTGAGCAGGATGCTACTAGGAGGAATGGCTGCAAACAGCGGGTGCGTGATTCCAGGGGTATGGTTTTCAGTCGGGAGAGGGTTGTCACGGCGAACTCGGTGAGCCAGTTGCTATATAGTGTTTCTGGGGTGGGGGTTTGTTGGGTGTCTGGTGATGGCGGGGAGGGTAGATTGTGAGGAGAATTGCGGTAGAGATTGTGAGGGGAGGATCTTGTGGACGGCGAAGGGGCGCTGTGTCGAGAGTTGGTGGTTTGTCCTGTTGCTGGACTGGGGTCGCCGAATCCAGCTGACAGGTTCATGCTGTCGAGGTCGATTGGGAAGAATGGGTCGCGGGATGTTGGATCGGCGTTGCCGGGGTATTGGGCTGATGTGGATGTTGGAGCGGACAAACGGTTGTGCAGTAGGTCTGGGAAGACGCGGTATAGCTGCATGAGGCCGATGCATCGGTACGCTTCGGCCATTGTGAGGAGGTGCCATACTGGGGTATCGTCGTCACCGGGACTGACGATCTCGGCCTCGGAGGGATGGGCAAGACCCAAGAGACGTTCTTCTAGTTCGCGGGCTTTCTCAATTGCTAATTGTGCACGGGTGATATCATCTTGGGAGGTGAATCGCCTTGAGTGGATGCGCTTTCGCTCACGGCGGATGAGTTGCCCGACCTCGTGCACCGTGAACTGGGTGTCGCGCGCGATGCCGGTCCATGGGTGTGGGACTCGTTGTAGAACGAATGACTCGCCCATAGATGAAGTGTTTCGCGAATTGTCAGATAGGACCATGGTGCCATTATCTGCGACGAAGGAAAGCAGCATCTCCCAGTAGATGAGAGCTTCTTCGAAGAACCGGTAGTTATTGCTGTCGTTCTTAGGGAAGCTAGAGCTAGGGTTGTGCGATGATGAAGCGAGGGTATTGAGCTGCTTGCGGAGCAGATTGAAAAGTGATATGCCCAAGTCAGTTGGGTCGTGCCAACTAGCCGTCTGTCCGAGCATTAGCAGCGCCAGCAACGACTTGTCGTCTATTACTGCATCGCGCGTGATAATCTCGACAGCTTCATCACGCATCCTTCGGCCCATGGGACCGAACTGGGGAAATTCGGTGACCAGTGTTGCAGCAGCCATACTTTGCATAGTTCGACACATTGCCAGTGAAGAACCCCAAAGACGGGATACTGTGGTTCGGAATGGGTTCATCTGGCTGTCATAGCTAGAGAACAATGCTGCCACTTCTTTGAAATAGTACTCGATCAAGGTCCATGATGGATTGTTCAGTGGACGAGACATTGACATGAAGTTATTTGGTGCAGAGCGATGTGATGCAGGAGGATAACTGCGCACAATGGCCGAAGGTGAGAAGTCTCGGTAACCCTTGTCAGTCGGTTCCTCACTTGGTGTTGATCCGATAAGTGAAAAAAAGTGCGACAGATCCACACCGGTATCTTCTGACTGTTCAAAGCCATGGGAAGTGTCTCTTTGGAGCGTGAAAGACAACGTTGCCTCCGCCATCGGGGACGGCGAGCATAGATCCGTCAGTTCGGGCAAAGACCCATGGCCTGGATGTTCCCATAGATTGTCACATAGAAGAGTTCGTTCATCTAAGACAAAATTCGAAGGATCTGGTTCATGGGATGATGCAAAATTTGAATCATCCGGCAAAGCATCGTCGATTTGGTTTGCAGTCGAGGCAGCGGGACTCGGGGTTCTCACCTCCGAAATCGATGCCGCTACGGCGGGACTAGATTGCTCATACTTAGTAACCCAGCGCAGGGATTGTGCATAGCCAGGGCAACGGACGCCTAAGCGGGTACATCGAGTGCAGTGAGGTTTCTCTTCGCCGCATTTGACCTGTGCATGTCAGTGATATCCGATTTTCCGGGGCGGGAAACGGGAAACACCAACTCGTTTACTCTTGCATCTTGCACAGCCATTTCTAGATTTCTTAACGCGGCGCATTATAAAGCTTTGAGAAGATGAATCTGAGAAGATCCGACAGGATTCAAGATGCGGAGTATAGGCCGAGGGGGAAAGCCCGTGCGGGGAGTCAAAATGGACCTTATCGAGATAAACGGGATTCTTTTGCCTCTTTGGGTGAAATAGGTGAAAATGGGAGAAATGATGTCTGGCTTGACTATATAATATATATACTACCTAGGTATATGGAGGACTATACGTATCTAGAGAGTATACATGGATGTAGTAAAACAGAAAATCAAATCAATCAGTCCAACGTTGGCTTCGACATGGGGAAATTATTGATGACTCAGCGGTCTCGGGGTTGTGAATGGGGCCGGGGGCTCTATGCTTGGTAATTGGAGTCCAAGACCTCGGGATTATATGAAATTGAGAACCCTGGTGTGATATTTACACCTACACAACACTCAATTATGGGACTTCTAGTGCGCAGCAAGGTAAATAATTGTCGCAAATGAGCATTTCCATAAGTCTGACATCAAGATAGGCAATCCCCACGAGACTTTTTCAAAGACTTGCGACTGTCAACCCAGTGGTTATCCTAGCTAATGCCCTGATATTCATCCCAAATCTCCGTACAAATCCAATCGGAAGGCCTCAATTGCAGAAGAATTTTGGTAGAAGTACCTTTGCTCGCGAATTTCACTCAACTCCTATCACAATGGCAAGCTCCTCCGAACTCAAGCGGACTTTGACACCAACCCTCCTTGATGACGTACACAAGTTGTGGTTTGATCACCTGAGCTGCGACAAGGCATTCGTCCTACCCGGATGGAGCGATATGGGTAAGTGGTTTTCTCATGATGAGGCTTTTGACAAGGCCTGCGTGTAAGTGACCATTTGTCTCATTATTTCGACCCCAAATTATAAGACTGACAAGTTAAACTAGCACCCAATTCCGCCCTGCTCTGGAAATAATTGTTGGCTCCGGAGCATCAGCCTCGGACATTCTATCTGCAGTTAACCCATCCTCGCCGATGGATTGGCTCAGCCTGATTATTCTACTTGACCAGATTCCCCGCAATTCTTACCGGGGGGCCGAGTCAAATGTAGTGTTTGGGCACTTTGACCCATTGGCCGAGGAGATTGCCCTTCGGGCAATTAAAGAAGGGATACCGACACAGTCGCCGTATTTCAAATATCGAATGGCGTATCGTACTTGGTTCCACATGCCCCTTATGCATTCGGAAAACTTGGCTGTGCATGAGCAAGCCATCAAGGTACACGAGGATATAGCCAGAGATTTGAATGAGCTTCTGGCTAGGGACCCATCAACTCTTACGGAAGAGGAAAGAAAATGCTACGGTATTTTATCCGAGCAGGCGGAGGTGGTCCAGACATTCTTGAGTAGTAATTCTGACTTTGAAAAGAGGCACAAAGTGATCATTGAGAAGTTTGGACGATACCCCCATCGGAATAAGGCACTGGGGAGAGTGTCCACGCCGGAGGAAATTGAATACCTGAACAATGGCGGGGAGACATTTGGTGGTGGCTCAAATTGAGCTTGTATATATTCACGATACACATACCTCCATAGGGAGTCCCACTGTACAATATTGACCTATGAGAGGGTTAGTTTCAGTAGACAAAAGCGTCCAATTATTATTTGGTACGTAGAAATTGGCAACTCTCTAGGGCTACATTCCAATGAACAATTTAGAATTCCATCCCAAAGCAGTAGGTGGACACATGCCTCTTCACCCTTTCACCCCTTGATAGCTCGTCTGACCACTTCCCTGTTTAGGCAGAGGTCACATACCTTTATGCTAAGGTGTTTCGGTTCGAATCGAGGGTTTGGTGGTGGAACATAGACCCTCATAATCTCATTCGATAGAGATAGAACTCCGGGGATGAGATAATGGGAATTGGTTTTTTCTAAACTTATAGTATTAGGCTGACTTTCATGTTCAATTCATCTCAGGCTAACACCTGCCTAGGGGAGGTTGAGGTGTACATAGATAAATAATGCCTCATGCCGGTTTCGGTTATGTGAAACCATATAACCACAACACCGCATCTGTATTTTGCTACACAGAATTCGATTGCTAAGATGGCGTTTCTATCTTCCATCCTCTTAAATCAACAACAGGCCTTGCTAAGCACGAAACAAGTTCAAAATCACAGTTGGACTCCCGTTACTGTAACTGCTGTCTACTAGAAGACAGCACTTGGATTCGAGAAACGTGAATTGGAGGCAACAATGTGCATTTCGGTCTTTCCAGCTCTCATTTATTCATTATGATCATCCAACGCCAATCCTTTATCAGGCCCTTCATTTTCTCGCTTCTGGTTGTGTCCGTGACATCGTCCAAAGTGCTCCATCTCCTCCAACATGCCGCTTCCCTCCCTGGTGGCCAATTTGCACTCTACTTTCCGACATTCTTCATCCTTGAGACTCTTCTATACGTAGCCGCGTGGGGGCTGCTGTTCAAGTTTACAGGTATAAAGTCCTTTTTAGGCACTGTGGTGACAGTGGCCATAACGTGAGTACTCTAATCTACGTTTACTAGCTATAGTTAATCAAGATTCTAACTGTTACAGATCTCTGAGCTTTATCTTGTCTTCGTCTCAGATTGGCTTCTATTTTGTCACTGGCAGTGAGATCCGCTGGGATGCAGCCACAGCCGTGGGAAATGACCCAGAAGGGAGAAAGCTGATGCTTAGTGGGCTTAGATCGTTTTTGGGAGCTGCCGGCACCCTTCTTCTGATCTCATGGCTGCTCAAATATTGGATATACATTCTTATAGGCCATTGGATGTCTGCGCTGTTTAGCGCAAAACCCGAAAAGGGAGACGAAGAAGGCATCATGGTCAGTCCGCAAAGAAGGTCACGGGCAGCACGACTCACTCAATTTTGGACAATATGCGCCGCGGTAGTTATTGGACTCTTGCGTTTGAATCGGCCACAGGTCCCCTATAACCATATGTCTGAAACTATCCCATTTAGCTTTTTCCGGGCTTTGGGCTCGAGGCCTTCTGAGCGGCATCAGACTGGAGATCAAGCATTTCCACTCGCGGAACTGATTGATGAGCCCTACTGGGAAGGCCCACACGATCACTTCAAGGGTTGGACTCCGGGAAAGCCAGACTCCAATGCCAAAAAAGATCGATCCGCATGGTCGTATGGAAATCTACCACCAGGGTTCGAGCGGTGGAGCGAAGGGGAATCTGATAGAGATGAAGGAGACAGTGTGACTCCGGACGGGAACGGGACTTCTCAGAATAACATTTACAGCCCCGTGGATGACCCTCTTCGAATCACCAACCTCGACCGTGAAATGCTTGAGCCTGTAGCTCGGGCTCTCAAGAACCATAGAGTTCCCATCACACATGTCGTGCTTGTGTTGATGGAAAGTGCTCGGAAGGACATATTCCCATTCAAGGCAGGCTCACATCTGCACGAGATGATTCTGTCATCCTACAATACCAAAGACCCCGAAGTACTACAAAGGGTCAACGCCAAATTATCACATTTGACACCAAACGCAGAGAAGTTGACCGGTGAGACGAGTGGCCTTTCGATATATAACATGTCCAGCCCCTCCAGTGGTGGATGGAATGATAATACGGAACCAGGAATGGGTGGAATCAATGTCAATGGCATCCTAACTGGTAGCAGTCTATCGTTCAAAAGTGCAGTCATGAACTACTGCGGTACGGGGCCACTGCCGGTGAACTTCATGGATGAGGTCAACTCCCAGAATTATCAGCCATGTATCATGCAGATCTTTGAATTGTTCAACAAACTCAAGGAGAACTCGACTAAGAAGGATACAATGAATCATAAACCTGAGACTGGGCTTGAGCACATTCATGATCGAAACTGGAGCTCTGTGTTCTTGCAGTCTATCACAGGACTATATGACGAGCAAGATAAGCTCAACAATCAGATGGGGTTTCAAAAAGCTATCTATCGCGAAGAAATTGGCCAGCAAAGTGCCAAATATTATCATGAGGACATGGAGGAGATCAATTACTTTGGGTAAGCATATCATTATCCCGCTAACTGAGGACTATCGCATCCCATCCGCGCTCAAGTTGCTAATACATTACCTAGATACCCGGAGTACGAGATATATCCATATCTGCGAGATGTGGTGAACAATACAATTGAGAATAATGAACGACTTTTCCTGTCCCATTTCACGAGCACAACCCATCACCCATGGGGCACGCCCTCGGCATACCACCAAGAGCAATACTTCGCCGGCGACGGTCTCATGGCGAAGCACGAGGACATCAACAAATATTTGAACGCAGTCCGATACGTGGATACATGGCTTGGCGATATGATGAAGGTCCTCGACGAAGCCGGGATTGCAAACGAGACATTAGTCGTATTCGTGGGAGATCAGTATGTTGCACAGCTCGGTAGAACAACCAGATAACCATATACTAATTCCAAACAGTGGCCAGGCGTTCACCGAAGATGCGCCTGTCTCCGGTACCTATGAGAACGGACATATCAGCAATTTCCGCATTCCCCTGGTTTTCCGACACCCGCTATTGCCCGCACTCCAAATCACAGCAAATGCAACTTCGATGTCTGTCGTCCCGACCATTCTCGATCTACTCGTGAACTCGGGCTCGTTGAATGAGATAGACTCAAGTGCGGCTCTAGACCTGGTGAATGAATACGAAGGACAGTCGTTGGTGCGCCCGTACCAAGCTACCCACAATGGCCGACAGGCATGGAACTTTGGCATTATCAACCCCGGTGGTACAATGCTCAGTGTTGGGTCTGCGGCAGTCCCGTATCGACTCATATTGCCGCTCGCTGAGGACTTTCAGTACATTTTCTCCGATTTAGACACCGACCCGAACGAGTTGAGTCCATTGCGTGGGTGGTCCCTCGAGGAGTTGATCAGTCATGTACAAAGGCAACATGGAGACAAAGCCGGGAAGTGGCTGGTAGACGCGGAGAAAGTGGGAAAATGGTGGATTGGGGAGCAGAAAAGACTATGGAATTACCGATAATAATGTAATAATGCAAATATATTTCTTTTTTCAAATATCAAACCGAACATATAGAAAATATCAAAAATATCAAAGAAAAAAGAAGTAAGAAACAAGAAACAAGAAACAAGAAACAAGAAACAAGAAACAAGAAAAAAAGAAGAATAGGAAGAGAAGCAAGTTCCCTTGATATTGTTCGGTTTCTTTGTTTCCGCCTGAGGCAGACACCCGCCCCACCTCCACCTCATGTTTTATATTCGCTGCATTTCTCGTGAATTCGGTCTTTTATTTGGACAATTCTCTCTTCAACAGGAGTTTGATTGATCAAGATTGCACACCTTGACCTCGACAGCGCAGCGCATTAGTTGTGAGACCCCAACCCGGACTCGTCCTGTGCATCCGACCCCTGTATCCCCCACCATTTGATTGCATCCCGGCAATTATTCTTCCACTCTTAAGCGTCTTGCTGCAATATCCACCGACAAATCATGGAGGGAACATATTCCACCGATCCCGAATGGGCATCTGTCACCCCAATTGATCTGGATGATGGCTCGAGCTCGGGTGCCATGCCACTGGCGACCATCGCCTACCCAGACGAGTACCTCGAGGCGACTTCGTATTTGCGTGCCGTGATGGCCGCGAACGAGATGTCTGAGCGGGCATTGAACTTGACCAAAGATGTTATATCGATGAATCCAGCGCATTACACTGTATGGTAAGTTTGCTAGTAACAGCTTCCTCGTGACATGCCATATCAATATCTGACATTTTATACAGGATCTACCGAGCCAAGATTCTATTTGCATTGGAGAAGGACCTGGATGAAGAATTGAGCTGGCTGAACGATGTTTCATTGAAGTACCTGAAAAACTATCAAATTTGGTATGTCGACCATCACCCGACAACCATCAACGCTAGAAAGCCAAGAAAGAAAAAGCCAAGAAAGGCGAAAGACCAAGAACAAAAACAAAAAACTAACAACCAAAACAGGCACCACCGCCAAGTCTTGCTATCATCAAAAGCGCACTTCCCAACCTTCCCACCCAAAGAAGCAGACTTCCTAATGGAGATGTTCGCCCAAGACTCCAAAAACTACCATGTATGGACCTACCGCCACTGGCTCGTGCGGCACTTTAAACTATGGGACCAACCACGTGAACTTGAAGATGTGGAATTCCTCCTGAAAGCCGATGTGCGAAACAACTCCGCCTGGAACCACCGGTACATGCTCCGGTTCGGGCCGCGGGACACATCGGTCCCCGATGCGGGCATGGTGAATGCGGGCGATCTTTCAACTGCGCCAACTGAGAAGGGCAGGCTGTCTGTTGTCGATGAAGACATGATCGATGGCGAGCTGAAGTTTGCCCAGGAGGCTATCCTGCGCGCGCCCGAGAACCGGAGCCCGTGGTGGTATGCGCGCGGTGTGTTGAGGGCTGCTGGGCGTGGATTGGGAGAGTGGGAGGAGTTTGTTGGTGGGTTTGTTTCTGAGGGGGCTGTTAAGAGTTCGCATGCTGTTGAGTGGTTGGCGGATATCTTTGCTGAGACGGTTGGGAGGGAGGCGGATGCTGTGAGGATGTTGACGATGCTGAAGGAGGAGTTTGATCCCATTCGGAAGAATTATTGGGATTATCGTATTCGGAAGTTGGATCAAGTTGCGGTTTGATTTGGGAAATACATTGCAGCTGTCACCGTTGTATGAACGGTGGAAGGTGCGTGGTGCTGGATAGCTTCTATCAGAATAATTTCAATTTGTTCTAGGGTCTTGGATGTTTTATTGAAAAGTATTGCGTCCAAATAAGAATTTTTTTCTTGAAGTAAAATACCGCTGTATACGTTGTATGACCATATGGGGGATGCCAAGTCCAAGCTTCTATCTAGATGATAGTAATTAAGAGGTTCTAACCCCAAGACAAGAGAAAGGAAAAGGAGAAGAAGAAGAAGGAGGAATGAAATTAACAAATGTAGTGCCGCAAATAAAACGCCAAAAAACAAGCCCAAAAAATATTCATCATCATCAATATTCATGCCCATCCCCCATCCAACATTTTGCGCCATTCATAAGCCATATCAATAGTGACATAGCTACCACCGCAGACAATGATAACAACCCGACTTTGCGAGTTGAGGTTAGGAACAAGCTGCTTAAGCTTCGAGTTGAGCTTCTCGCCGACCTGCGGCTCAAGCTCCTGGTCCGTCTCATTATCCGGCGAGGTCGACCGGTCATCCCCATAGCCCTCATCGCGGTAAGTGAGATCAGTCTCAACCGAGCTTCTCTTCCGCTTCTTGATGCTCTGGGCGCCGGCGTCGGCAGTCACAGACGCAGGAACAGCAGTAGCAGCATCGCCGATGGCCGCCTCGATGCAGACGCCGCATGCAAGCTCGACGAGGAGTCGTTCATCGTTGGCGAGGCGGAGCACGCCGCGGGCAGCATCTGCATCTGAGAGGACTGTGCTGTGCACCTTGATGCCTGGTGGCGGGGACACGGCGTACTGGAAGGTTGTTTCTGAGACGCGGACAGCGCCGAGAGAAGTGGCTTGAGATGTGATCTTTGGGAGTGAGATGAGGGATTTGTTGGCGATGGCTGCTGCCAAGGAATCGGTACCTACCGTTTCAATGGCGAGGAGGTGAATGGGGTCTGGTGTGGAGAAGGAAGAGGAGGTGATTTGCTTCTTCTGTCGTCGCTTTTCGATGCCCATGACGAGACCGTTGAGGAGGCCGCCGCCACCGACACTGCAAAGGATGGCGTCTAGTGGAAGGGCCCGATCATTGTAGGCCTTTTTGTCTTCGGGGCTGGTGGCAGGAGGAAGCTGGGTCTCGAGCTCGTCGATGATGGTGCCGTTTCCCTCCCAGATAGGCTGGTTGTCGAAAGGATGAAGGGCAATCTTAATCACATCCTGGTCATCTCCGCTGCTGGTCTTCATGATAGTTTCCCGCATGTATTCACCTGCTTCTGAGAATGTCTCGCCATGACGGATGACGTCTGCTGCGCCTGCCGCCCGGATCTTGTCAAGCATCAAGGGCTTAGTGCCCATGGGAACCACGACAGTGCATGGGTAGCCCAAGCTCCGGGCTGCACAGACAGCTGCCAGTCCAGCGTTTCCTCCGGACGAGGCGTAGAAGTGGACTCTGCGGCCTACGTTGGCTGGGTTGCGAAGGTGAGAGAGGATTTGGTTGCCCATAGCGCGGGACTTGAAGGAGCCGCTGGGCTGCACGTTCTCCAACTTCAGGAAGATCCTACATCCAGCTGCGCGAGAAAGGCATGCAGACTCGACTAGTGGTGTCTCGATCCATGGCGTTTTGAGCTGCAGTTGATCGCAGGCAGAAATGTCGATGCTCCCCATTTTGATGTGTTGAACAAACGGAAGAGAAAACAATGTTTCTGTTGGTCACCGGAGGAGTTCCAAGATCAGAAGTATAGAAATGAAGTTCCCAAAATAGTAGTAAATTGTTGGGTCGAGTGGTTACACGACAGTAGGGTGTATGTTCACCAAAATAGAGAGATAGGGGGATATCGGGATGAAAAAGAAAAGCGATAAATACTGAAACATCCGAACTCCAGTATGCAGCTATTAAGACATGTTTTGATATACAAAGTAAGCCTCCAGGGCTAGGGCTAAGGTTTTCCGACGGGAAACTCCAGTTTTCCGCCTGATAGGACTGACCGCAGGATCCATGGTTCTGGCCGAGTCTTTCCCGTCAACAACCTTGAGAGATACTCCAATTACAGTGGGTCGGCCATGACGCCCATGACATACCGTTTGTATTAGAGTGGCCAAGCGTGGGAAATCTGACGTCTCAGCTTTCAAGCTGTGGAGGACCCGGGAAAGAAACCCCATAGAGTCTGGTGGAGAAAATGCATATCTTCATCCAGAGAGGCCTCTCGGCCACCCATGATTGGTCGCCGGTCGATTCCTCTTATCAAATCGAAAGCTCGAAAACAGGCGCATTACTCCTCAGTGAGCAAAGGAGGGAAAAGAATACCTTTCTTAATGCCCTCACCGTAATCTGGATCTGAACCGTACGCCGTGGCCGCGAATGCCCGCTTGGAGGGGTCCGAGGTATTTACACAGAGCAATTCTAGAAGGTCATGAGATTTGCCGGGCATGAACGGCTGCAATAAAATGCCAGCGATCCGCAGCGATTCCGCCACGTTGTAGATGACTCGTTGGGAGTTGGGAGTTTTCCACGGCTCCGCCGCATGGAAGTACTTGTTAGTCTAAAAAAACAGGTCAATACTCGCCGAACCCGTGCGGGGATGATCACCTCTTACCTTCTCAATAATGCCCATAGTCTCTTGCAGTGCGGCACGCGGGTTCAGATTCTCCATAAGCTCGGCAACCTGCGGAGGCGTCTGCTCCAACATTTCCTGATGCTCCAAGTCCTCAGGGGTAGCAGCTGGAAGCTTATCCGACCCGGCGTCCATAATGTAAGAGCGCAAATTGCCACGCGCACATCCAATTGTACGCAGAGTAAGGTTTCCGAGGCCCCCCTGGAGCAATTTCTTGTAATCTCGGATGATAAAGGAATTGTCAAAGTCTGCATCATCCGCAAGGCCACCCCGGTACGCTAGGAAAAATCGCATGCCATCGACTCCGAACCGCTCAATGGCGAAAAACGGGTTCACAACATTGCCCGTGGACTTAGACATTTTCTCACGATTCATCGTCCAGTGTCCGTGCACCAAGACATTCCGAGGCAGGGGAAGATCAAGTGCCATGAGGAAAGCAGGCCAATAAACGCAATGGAATCTGCCAAATCATTAATTTTTGCACGCGACCTTTCGGGAGAACTCGTGAACTCACCGAATAATATCTTTTCCAACCACATGCAAGTCTGCAGGCCATGCAGATGTGTTTTCTTGTCCAGGTGGGAAAGGATATCCAGCTTTGGTCAAGTAGTTGACCAGCGCATCTAGCCACACGTAGATTGTCTGCGTGTCATCGCCAGGAACAGGTATGCCCCAAGTCAGACGTTCCACGGGCCGAGAGATCGAGAGGTCCTGTAGTCCCGACTCAACTCCTTTGACCACAGCAGCTGTGTAGGAGGTAGGTGTGATGAACGGGTCTTCTCTTTTGTACAAATCAAGTAGACGATCCTTGAATGCCGAGAGACGGAAGTGGTAGTTGGTTTCTGAGGACCACTCTACCTCTTTGCCCGTTTCTATTGAGACCTATGTGTGGTTAGTATCCGTACTCGTTGGAGAACTGATAGATTACATACCATGCGTTTCCTCCCTGTTGATGGATCTAGGGAGTTCTGCACTTGCGTCTGTGGATAGAATGTCTCATCGCTGACTGAGTACCAACCTTCATGCTTCGAGGTATAGATATAACCCCGGTGTTGCAACATTTCCTACTCATGATTAGCCATGCCCTACGATGAACGGAACATAGTCGCTTACCCAGAAATATTGGACAGCATCTCGATGCGCCGGGTCGGTGGTCCTGATGAAATGATCGTTGTCGAGGTTTGCAGCCTTCGCTAGGGCCTATATCGGACAAATGGAGTTAGAGATGCCCTTTGATACGACCTTTAATACGACAAAGAGGACTCGCACCTCAAAGGTTCGGCAGTTCATATCACAAAATGCCTGAGTATCCATGCCCGCTTGAATGGCAGCTTGTTGAATCTGTGATTGATGTCAACGCCCATTATCGACCTTTAATCCCATCCATGTGTAGTACCTTCATTCCATGTTCATCGGTTCCAGTCAGTAGCTGAGCATCCGTGTTCCCGAGCAAGACCTGCCACCGCTTCATGATATCGGCGATCACCATTGTGTATAGATGGCCGACGTGAGGGGCTAGAAGGTAGACGCATAGTTAGAAATCGAGTTTCTCATGCTCTTGGTTATGTATAATTCTCACCGGCATTGACATAGAAAATTGGCGTTGTCACATAGTAAGGCTTGCTGGACTTTTGCGGCGTAGTTGCAACTCCGCGTCGGGGAGTGATTGCCCACCCATGCTTGCGGGATGTACAGTTCCACTGATGCTTCGATCTCAGAAGCTGAGACGCTCTTAATAACGAGCGAAGTGGCGTCCTTGTTGTAGCCATTGGGATAGTGGTAACGGTAAGAAGAGCGTTGCATGTTATTCCGCACATCTCGGGTGGTCCGAGCTTCTCCGCAAGTCTCGGCCATTTTTTTGCGCGTACATTGTCGCGCTTACATCGTCATCGAAAACCCCCGGACATACAAATTTGTCGTCAATAAGTTTTTTTTTTTAAAAAAAATCTCATTTAAATCATATTTCGACTTCTTCTTACACCACACAACTATTACCCGGCTGTTTGCCAACTTGAAATACCGATCGCGATGGCCACAGCAAGCGAGGATACACTGACCAAAGTGTCGACTGAGGGTAAGTCTCAAATTATAAGCCAGTTTCGTCCTTTATTGAAAGTCAGCTGACATCTTATTTGCTTCCTTGCTCAGCTGCGACCGAGTTCATCAAGACCTTCTATCCGGCTTTGGGATCAAACCGCGAATCTCTCAGCTCCTACTACTCCCTCGAGCCCACAACCATCCTGTTCAACGGAAATCGTGTCGCAGACGGCGCGGCCGTGCAAGAAATCTTTACCAATCAAATGTCGCCAACATACTACGAAGTCCAATCATACGACTGCCAGATCATCAACAAAGCATACCCTACCATTTTGCCAGGTGGCGGACTGAAGCCACAGTCAGAGATGGGAGTCAAAGACATGTCATTTCTCATTGTAGTCAGTGGATTTGTGCGCTATGGTGAGGGTCGCGATCAGCCGCAGCGTGGATTCAGCGAGACGTTCGTTCTGGTTCCCAATCCATCTGCAGAGAGGGCTAGGGGCCGCAAGGATTGGCTTATCGAAAGCCAGAACTTCCGCCTTGTCGTTTGAGCAACCATACAAATTTGATCCAACAAATTTCCAACAAATTATAAATAGTCACCCAAGTCAACAAACCATGCCATGTGACACGGAAGTGAAAGAGAACTGAGACTGAGCCATGCCCATCCACCACCAATGATGAATTGCTGGGAGATACGATGCAATAAATGGTCCACTGCTTGAAAGTGCTTCAAAACTAGAGCGCCAGACGCCAGGAAGGGAAGGGAACTGATGGTATTTCCCCCATTATGGGGATTATGGCCCAGCCGATGTCTTACGCGGTATGCGGAGGTTTGCTTTGACTCTTTCAAGCAGCTCCTCACGCGTCGCAGCGTCACTCGGTAAAAGCCCTCTCTGAAATGTTTGGTCAGCGTACCATTCCAAGAAAATGTACGATTATCTGGACTGAGTCATGTCTGAATACATCACTGGAACATACCACTTTAAGCCATCTTGTCATCTCATCCATTGTCCAGTTTTCAGGGTCTAGCTTCTATTAGCCTTTGTTTGATACCTAGTAACACCTATTCTCACCGCCAGTAGGATCTGCTTGTGCGGGAAGAACATCACTGCCTAGGATGGTATAGGCTGCCACCGCAGTGACCATGCCTGCAAATCCTATATAGGAAGATTGTGGTCAGAAATGTTGATGAGTACCTTAACTTGAAATTATCTACCAAGGAATAGATTCTATCAAGTCCAGCATTAGATATAATTCATAAAAGTGTAGACCGACATGTATGGTAGTACCTTGGAATTCAATGCTCGGTCTAAAGGGGTCGGCATCTTGAAAAATGATGCAATGATCCTTTGAATTTCTTGAGTCGATGTAGAATCCTTCTTTCTGAAGAGATTAGAAGAGAATAAATAGAAGAAAAAAAATCTTAGGGCACGTGCAAAAGACAAGTATTCAAGACGAATAGATGTGAACAGTTCATCAAGACGCGGGCAGTACCGCCACACCGCGCCACCTCCACTGCTGCCTCCGAACTATAGTCGCACCTACTTCAACTTCATACTTCGATAACTCCTGGGATCGTTTGATGGCACTTTCCTTCGAGTAGTTATATACGTAAACATCTAGTCATGGTCATTGCCCGTGTAGAAATTGTAATGCCAAATTTATAGCTCTCACTGTTCTAAGCCATTGCATCGCATATCTATACTCACCAGTCTATCATTATTCCTCTCACTCATTCCAAATCACTTCAAACAGCCTGTTTTACTAGACGATATGGAAGGAGTCATCTTCCTGTCCTCGGTTACATTCGTTATTGCGGTGACAGCTGCTATCATACGGGGGTATGATTGATCAATTGCAGTATCAAGCCAGACATTGACCCTGTTTACAGCATAGCCTTTTACAAGCGATACCGAGTCCGCCTGCATGTCACATCAAAAGGAATGACTCCTTCACAGAGTTTGGACCTGGAGAGATTCGATCCTGAAGGAAGTGCACCTGTTCAGCCACCGCCGCAACTGCATCACCAGTCACGATTGGGGAGCAGAAATTCGAGGTGGCCAGGATATACAGACCGACGGACTCAACCATCGCGAACAATAGTGGATCATTTTGCGTCATATCGCATTCCCGAGGAAGCAGACACGACCATCCATCATTTCCCGCAAGCGCATTCGCTGCCCCCAAACCTCCCAGCCACATTCTTGGCCCCATCCGCACGAGCCACAACACCCCCACCAGCCACTGCACTTACCCCGCCTGAGGCACCCACTGTGAATCACACATGACTAAGCAAGGGCTTTTGCAGCTTCAAGCCCTAACGTGATCCGCACACATTCACCTTAGAGGCCAGTGTCGACAGTGAGCTTTCTCTTTTGCACCTTGCTTTAAAACACCCGCAACCGTCATTATGCCTGCCGAAGTCTCCGATATCAAGCAGTTCATTGAGATCTGCCGCCGGAAGGATGCCTCCTGTACGTTTACGCTGCATTGATGGGGTTCCAAGATGAGACGGAGATGATCATTGATGCTGACTGTTTACGCCTCTAGCCGCCCGCATCAAGAAGAACGGCAAGAACCAGCAGACCAAGTTCAAGGTCCGCTGCCACCGCAACCTTTACACCCTTGTCCTGAAGGACTCCGACAAGGCCGACAAGCTCAAGCAGAGCCTGCCCCCTGGTACGTTTCGATCGCATTGGTCCGCCGTCTGAGTTGTTGGGAAGATAGAAGGATATACAACTTGGAATGTCGCTTTGAACCTATGCTGACAATTTCTTTCTGAACAGCCCTCAAGGTCGTCGATGTCTCCAAGGGCACCAAGAAGACCAACTAAATTCGGTAACCATGGAATGAACGGAGAATCGGAGTGCGGCGTGATTGGTTGTTGATGCATGCAAGACCAACTGTTGGGGGGATACATGACGCGGGCTTGGTCCCTCTGCGAGCCGACACGGGGAAAACTCCGTGGCGTGGAACATGAATTTTACGTCGGGGGAGTTTCTTTGCGCCTTTGAACCCGGCTGCTGTTATTCACCGGCCAGGCGACTCGCATTTTCTGGACGCACTCGAGGAACACTTTGTCGGAGGTTCCAGTCCCTACAACCCAATGAAAAAAACAGTTGAAATATCATTACTACATGGGTTTCTCGTTCTCAGTCGAGATTTCCTAATCCATTACTCTCGTCATGGACGTTGTCCCGACTTCGATCTCGTCTTCCAAGGCAACAAGTAGACGGGTAAATGCTGGTTGTGTAGATCAACGGACCTCGGATTGTCCAGGCATTGTAAGGGCCGCCGGCTTTTCATTTGACTCGACTTCATATCAACGTAGAATCCTATGGTGATCTCTGGTCAAATATTCTCGCTGACATTGTGACCAGTGACCACAGTTCCTTCTTTTCCTTTAATGGCTCGATCGAACGCAATGACATGGCGTATTTTTACCCGGCTATTATTTGATACCGGGGTTCGAGACTGCCTCGCCCCGAGTCCTTGTTCGAGCCTTTGTTCGAGTCTACTTCATACTTTTCCTCGCACAATATCATTGTTGGGGATGGCTATCTCTAAGAACAGATGTTTACAAAGGCCTTTATCTTTTCTTCTCGTAAAAATCTAACAAAGAATGCCTATAGCGTGTCTCCTCGAACCTACCTATATAAATCCACTTCGACCTCGTCCACATTGAAAGCATCAACAACGTTGGCAATATCGGCATCCCATTGTTCCCTACTCGTCTCGGCCAAAATATATTGTCTTTGCAGAATCTCATTCAGTTTTCAACATGGGTTCATTCAAACTACCTAACGAGAGTATAATTGGATACATGTGTCACCAAAAGCTATTGGTCCCTGCTATGGGTTATCTTAGCATGTTTCCACCAGAGATCATCTTTAATATCCTGGACGAGATTTTGGGGAGCTCCCCTAGATTGACACATGAGAACTTTCACGCCATTAACCAGCTAATGAAAACTAACAAGACACTAGAACAATACATCAAACTCGGATGGATGGGTAGCAATGCGTCAAACAGTTTCAAGCAGCGCGTTGATTCCGTCCAGTGGTACCCAAATATTGACAATGCGAATAGAGCTCTAACCCTCAAGGGTGTAAACCCCGATTGTATCATTCCCATCGAAGGTCCCCGCGACCTCGGCCCCGATCTCGTCACAGGTATCATTTTGGACGACTGCACCGATTGCTTTGAGTGGTTCTCCGAGGTACTGCCTCCTACCCACATGAGTTGTTGCAATGAGGGCGGTTGGTCATTCCTTTCTCTGGCACTGCATGCTAAATCCGAAAGGCTACTCGATTGTTTCTTCGTCTCAGGCTTCCCTTACGAACCGAAGGATTTTATCACCGGTAATGGCAATGCTATGGGGAGAGGGCCGTCAATCCTTGGGCTTTCTGCCTCATCTAAGGACCATCAGTCTTTCACAAAGCTCTTCAGGAAACTGAAGCAAATCTTGAACGGGCACGGCTTCCAGAGGACTCTTAGAGATAAACTCACAGGTAAGGAGCGAGCGGCCATCCGAAGTGTTGCTCCTCAGTATCTACAGAAGATGTTGCATGAAGCTGGTCTGGCTGCTATGCATCCAACTCTTCGTTATAGTCCATATTACTCTGGTACGCGCACCCAGATGTACTAATCTTCTCGATCCATGCGGTTGTATGTCCGTGCTCACGCTTCAGATAAAACCACTAACATCCCGAATATATATCTGTTCCCTAGTAGCTATCTCATGATGTTAATGTCATTGACCTTGTTGTCTTCTACTAACTTAACCATTGCCTTCATATTATACCACTTTGCTTTTTCATTATCAGGTGTTAGTATCCAGCGTTTATAACAAATCAAATTCAAGTTTCCTTACCTCACGTACAGCAGTTTTATATTACCAGATACGTTGACCAAGTAGACCTCAATCCTTTGGATGTTTAGCTAACCTAGTACCCCAGGTATTTCCGTAGATCATTACTCTTCAGGCCACGGCACTCCATTTCTATACATATTACCCTCCGCATTACTTGGCACGTCACAGATTCTCTTGGCATAGATCATTTCATACATTAGATTAGTGGTCCTATAAGGATACATAACAGATTCTATATTCCCATCGGCCCGCTACCCCGGATCACCACCATTCATTGCCGTTAATGGCTGCAGAAATTAGCCATAGGGGCTGGAACTCGTCCCCCTAGCTTCCTCACCCAAACATATACATTTGGACTCTATTTTCCAAGACTTTGGCTTAACTAGTTCTCTTTGTTGGGATAAAATGGCTGACCCCATGACACTTTGTAATATATTTCTTGATGGCTCGAACACCGAGGCTTTTATATTCAGACCAATAGTATCGTGAAAAGTCTGGACTCCGGCTTCCATCTACGATTTTCCACCAACAAGTTCCTCTAATAAGTCTTATGGTTCACACCCGATGTTGCGCTTTTGTGTTCAACCCATACCAATTGACGTAGTTGTGTTTAGCACTATTCCAGGATCAGAACGGACCTCCTTCAGGAACATAAGTCCCGGCTAAATCAATAATTACATAGAGGAATAGACAAAGACGAGTTCTGGGAGGGATGCATATAAATATGGGCGTCAGGGTCAAAGATATGTCTTGCACAAACAGAGACTATTCAATTATTTATCAGAAATCCAGTGCAAAATGACACTTTCAAAGCTATCTATGTTCCTAGCCTCCGCTTCTCTTGTAACAGGCCATGGCTACGTATCCAGCATTGTGGCTGACGGCAAAAAGTGGGTTAATCCAAGACCCAAAGCCTCCATACCAGCAGCCAACTAACCACATCATCAGCTACACTGGTTACCTCGTTGACAAATATGCGTACATGTCAGACCCCCCGGATAGCGTCGGCTGGGCAACAACAGCAACCGACCTCGGTTTTGAAGACGGCACCGAATACCAAGATCCGAACATAATCTGCCACCGAGACGGAGTCAACGCAGCTTTGAGTGCCACTGTCACCGCTGGTTCCAGCATTGACATCCAATGGACGACTTGGCCAGAATCTCACCACGGTCCTCTGGTTACATACCTTGCATCTTGCAACGGTGACTGCAGCACAGTCGACAAGACCACGCTGAAATTCTTCAAGATTGAAGAAGACGGTCTCATCGACGGCACAAATCCCCCTGGTAGATGGGCTGCCGATGATCTTATTGCTGCTGGGGGCCAGTGGACCGTGAAGATTCCTTCTACTATCGCTGCGGGTAACTATGTCATGCGGCATGAAATTATCGCTCTGCACTCCGCGGCCCAGCCAAATGGTGCTCAGAACTACCCGCAGTGCTTCAATTTGCAGGTCACTGGTGGTGGAAGTGATGTGCCTGATGGCACGCTTGGTGAGGATTTGTATACCAATACTGATCCGGGGATTTTGTTCGATATTTATTCTACGCTGACTTCATATGTTATCCCGGGACCGGCTTTGTATGTCTGATTCAGGGCTATAAGGAAATATCAGGTAGAGGATGTTTGGGAGGGACTTTGGAAAGCTTTCTCGTGTTATTCGAGTATCATGGAATGAATACTATGTGCATTGCTCATTTAATCACTACGACTCCAAAGAACTAGAAACCCATACATCATTGAAACCCCAAATCTATTCCGTTCTCTCATAAGGCAAGGCAATAAACCCTAGCACATTAGCCCCCTCAAGGGCCGCATCAACACCACCAAGACTCAAATTCGTCTTGCGTAACTCGAACTCCCCAAAGAAATTCGGCTCAGCAGAAACCCTCTCAAACCCAATTCCCTCAAACAAAGCCAAACTCTTCGAATTCGCTTGTCCAATCTTCACACTAAGATACTCAAACGCCAACTCCTCCGATGACCCCGCCGTCTCAACACCAGTCCGCAACTTCCGCACAGTCTCAACATCAACATCACCACCACCAACAAACTCATCCAGAATAGCACCCTGGTTCTGAACAATATACCGCATAAACATGAGTAGCGCAGCGCGCCCAAACCCGCGTCGCTGGTTGACTTTCTCAGCAATCATGAGCTCGACCTCGCCGACTATCTGCGGCGGGCAGTCGCCCTCCTCGCCATCATCGACGCGCAGGAAGAGGTTGATGTCGCCGACCATAGTGGCTGGCGAGTCACTTTCTGTTTGTAGCTCGGTCTGGCTGGGGAAGCCGTCTTCGGTGCCTGTTGTGATCGCCCGACAGACGATGAAAGTTAGTTTGTCGGCGTCTTGGCGCCAGCTGCGTTGCATCGAGTATTCTTCTTCTAGTGTTAAGGGTTCTGAGGCTGTTGCTTCTTGAATTTCCTAGAGGACTGTAAGAAAGGCAGTCGATTATATCGAGGATTTTGTTGATCTTGTTTACTTACCGGGTCTTTCATCCATTCGTGGTATCGGGGTACGTGCCATGATGAGTACGGGACCAACAGGGCTTTTGAGGAGCAGAGGGCTATTGCTCAGAAGTTGAGATTAGCTTCTTCGGTTTTTATTATAGTCTCGATCTGCGGGCTCTGTGGGGGAAAGTATATATGTGGGTATGGGCATAGAGCAGCGTACCGATGTTGGCATTGAGTAACATGGTGGTGGATGATCAGAAAATGGTCCTTTTTAGTGTGAATGATTCAGAATTGTTCAATTAGTATGTCCTCTCGTGGAGAAAGGCCCATTCGATGTATATCAGGGTCTCCATGGATATAAAGCAGAAGAAGTTAGTGGGATGGATTCTTCCAACTGTGGGTCTTGGCGCGTGGAGCCACTCGGGTTGTATACGATTTGTCTGAGCAGCCATGGAGTTTTATAAATCTATCAATATATGTGATTTGGTAAGATGGTTATTTCATTAGTACCATTGATTGATTGGTATCTCTATCAGTTCATTTTTGTTCTTCCTGACCCTTGAAAACCCCAAACCGGACCACCTCGACCTCTAGTGTCTCGCTATCAACCAGAATCAACTCCCCAGTTTCGTTGAATTTAGGAAGTGCCAACAGACGAACACGGGCTGCACCAGAGCCATCAGCGGCACCCGCCATTTCAGTGTCGCCATCTAGGCGGAGAGGGACGTCACCCTCAATCGTGGCCGTCTTGAACTGTGGCTGATTACCAGCGAAAAAGATATGCGGACAGGACTCGATAACATATGGATCTTCAGATTGGTATGGGTATGACCCTGGAGAGTATTGTTAGCAAAATATATTTGAGAGATTGGGATGTCCAAGCATACAAATAGTGTCCGGCGCAGTGGGCACGCCGCAGCGCCAACGAAGCATTGCTTCCATGATTCGCATCCGAGCATCAGAATCAGTATCCTTATTTGGGCTGCTATCGCCGTCCTCGATACTGATATACCGCAGAATATCGTCAACATTCTGACCGCTGCATCCCCATAGTCGCCAACCTTCTACGTCGCCCTCCCAGGGGTTCGTGACACTGTCGAACCAGCCCGCTTCGGGCTTTTCATCTCCTCTGACAGGAGGTGCGGAATATGCTCTTGATTGAGGGAACATAGTACGATGGATCCCCTGCTGGGGGAGGGAGAAGTTTGCTGGATCTTTTTCGCCCGGCATGAGTGTGATGGGAATGCTGGGCAAGATCTCCGCTAGGAAGTTATCGAGTTGTGTGACAGGTGCGGCATTGTATGCAGAGGCATCATAGCCATACTTTTTCGGCTGGACTTTCTTTCCCGCGGCGTCGCCAGAGCTTGTTGACGCAATATCTCCAATTACGCTGGCTCCAAGTGAGTTACCTGCGATGACCAACCGGGAGATTTTAGAAGGACCTAAGGAAGGACTGTTATCGTCATTTCCCGAGAATCCTGTGTATCCCAGAAGATAATCCGTCAATAGCTCCAAAGCAAGCGTGTCGCTTGATGTTCCCGTGATTCCCAGGCCACTGAGAAAGGCAATCTTGCCGTGCTCCTTTCCAGCAATCTCGACTCCATCTTCTGGAGTATTGCCCTCCCATCGTTGAGGCTGCGGAGCTAAGTCTGGCAGCTTGATATCAATAACCTCGAAATCTCCATTCGCGTTTTCAGTTCCCAAAGCTGCAATAATGGCACCTGTCGCCAGCTGTGTAGACTGCAAAAAGTTTCCAGTGAGCCGTAAGCGACCGGACTCATCTTCCATCATAATTTGGGTCAAAGAGGGGTCGGAAGGGTCGGTGTAAGTGCGGCGAGGAGGGGGCGCAGATGTGAAGTTCTATGGATTGTCAGTATAGAAGAAGAAGAAGAAGAAGGAACAAGCCTAAGGAACTAACCTCTTTGCTGAGATCGTCCAAAATATTCGGCTTCATTGGCAAATGCATGTATACGGTGCCAGCCACCCAGCACAGCTCGCCTTGTCGGACATCGAGGACTCGATCGACACGTCGCACCTTCTCTCCAGCGATCTAAATTTGCAAGCAGCTGTCAGATAAATCCATAACTGAGAGCGGAACATATTTCCTAGGACAAAGTGCCCTTACAATAAGTCCATCCCACGCATCCATCGCGACTTGTTCGACGCTGGGCTTCAGCTTTGCGAGTCGCAAAAAATACATGTCGTCATATTGCTGCTGGTAGTGTCGTCCTGCGCCGGCTGGTAGGTGGAAGGTAAGACGAGGGTTGTAATGGGAGGGTGTGCGGTAAACTGATTCCTGTTCCTGTTCCTCCTTGCTA